TTTCAGCAGTTTTTCGAAAGTCTCTGAAATCATTTTTTATTTTCGTTTTACTAACATGAGCAGCATCGGAAAAAAAATCAGACTCGGGGATTTCGTTGAGATGTGGTGTGGCTATGGTTTCCAAATCCTCATTGGCAGAAACTCCGTCAACTGATTTCTTACTTTCCTCATCAAATTTGCCTTTATGTTTTGAATATTTGGGGTCGCTTCCGTTTACTTTCCCCTCTAATTCCTTATACTTCTTAACTTCCTCGGAATCTTTTACTTTATTTTTTCATTTTTTAACCGCTTCGTTATGCTCGGGGTCGGTTAAATTTCCGGCAGCCCTTCAATCACTAATTTGTTGCCTCAATTTATTTAATTCCGGAATTTGGGCGTTAACCGTCTTTTCGAACTGTGCCCAAAATCTTTTTAAATCGTCTTTGAAACTTTGTTTGGTTTTGGACGTAGGAGCACCAGGTCTACCAATTTCTCAGGCCTCGGCCAAATCAGTATCCACTCCTTTTTTAGCATCCGCACTAAGCCCACTAAAATAATCATTTCACTTCATTTCTTTTTCAAATTGTCAATAAATTCCTATGCTATTGGCTTGCTTAGTAAGTCTTTTAAATTCACTGATTACATGATAATTTAAACGTGTCTGATTATAATCTATTACATAATTATTAAATGTAGCATCATCAGCATTATCGATATCCGCATCACTAGGGCGGGTATAATTATTTATCAATGGAGTGCCCACTTCCACGGGTGGAATAATATTGTGATAAGCGTCGCGGGGGATAGTTACGCTGTGTCCTTTAACTTCTAATTTTCCTTCGCCCACCCGTAAATCCTGAATAGTAAAATCCTTATTTAGATTTCTAGGGTCCATTAAGAATTCATAAAAGACATCGGTTTCATATTGATTCTGGGTTCCGCTAGCCTTGGATAATTCGATAATCAGCACTGATACTGGCGTTGTGCCTACTGTTTTTTGTTTTACTCGCACATTTAGCAGAAGTTTACCAGGAGTATAACCTCTTACTCATGAAAATCATCTTGCTTGAGCCGTCATTTCTTTCTCGTCAAAAGTATAGGCTGTTCCGGCTATGGTGAATGTTACGTTTTGCGTTGGCATATATTATGATATTATATAATGAAATTGTTTAATTGTTATCTAAAATCAGCGTTATTCTCTTTTGTGTTTCGCAACACACAGCAGAGAGAGAGAGAGAGATCTCCAAACTCGCTCTACTTTACCATCTTTCCTGATATATTTATAATTTTACAACAAAACTTAATTAAGAAACCGCTCCGCGCGGAGAAGAAAATCCCTCAAAACAAAAGACGTCACCCAAATTAAAGGTGATATAAAAAACGTGTTATAATGTAAAATATATATTATAATGTTATGAAAGATTGACAAGCATATGTAATTGTTGCCCCCATTGCCCTGATAATAGGAGCAATTATCGGTGGTTTTATCATTCGTTATATTCTCAAGAAACAGATTGAAGAATGAAAAAAGAAAATAGAAACACCCGATAGAGAGCAAATAAGGAACATGTTAACTGCTTTGGGACAAAAGCCTTCAGAAGAGCAAATAAACAGATTTATCAGAATGACCCAGAACCAACGCAAAAAAGAGACCCAAAATCCTAAAAAGGCTGCGGTGAAGAAAAAAAAGTAGATATTTATGAGGGTCGATTTATTTTTAGTTTGTGGTGGCTGTCAGAAAAGACATCAAAATTATCGGACTTCCAAGGCCAAAAAGCCCCAAGGGGAGAAATTAAGTTTAAAAAAATATTGTAAATTTTGCCAGAAAACGATAGCCCATAAAGAAGAGGCTATTAGCAGCGGAAAGAAAAAAAAAGCGAAATAAAAAACGGGGAGTTTTTATGCTCCCCCAATAATTAAGGATTTATCTTAATGAATAATGTTAGCATTATTTTGTTCTTAATTATTAGCAAATCATATGACTCGAGCAAGTAATACCCCAACCACGCGTAGACGGCGAAAAAAAATTATCAAGCAAGCCAAGGGCTATTTTGGCTCCAAACGAAAATTATTTAGAACAGCCAAAGAGCAAGTAAACAGGTCACTGGTTTACGCTTATCGAGATCGAAAAGTAGAAAAGCGGCG